GCTGACTCTATAACCATTAATACAACAATTTTTCACTATTTTCAGACGGAACTATTCACTGACTTGTATCATATTAAACTGAACTTCCAATTTTCACCACTGTTCGGCGCCAAGTAACCTTTACTCTGATCACGGCTTGCTTGGTCTCGCAATGAATCCTGGGATATCCAAGGATAGAGAGGATACATCAGACCTGTCCTTCAAATCGGGCTAAAAGAAGGACGCATTTTAAGGCCGCATAACGAGGACTCTTGGAATTCAACCAGACCTCGATGCTGTGCTGTCATGTGATCATCCTTTGAATCTGGCCTTCTGAGGATGCAGCCCAGGAATTCGAACAGAGCCTAGAGGCTCAGACCTTTCCAAGGAGGGGTCAGAGGTCATTGTGCGACCATTTCAGGTGATCTAACCCGCATGCGTTATAAGCTGCTCTGTTATTCTTATTTTCTATTCAGTTTGGTTAATTTCAATAAAATAACGACTAAATCTTAAGAGCAAAGGCTTTGCCTCATGCAGAAGGTCTCCAAGAATGGAAATCAGCATATTTGTCTGACCAGATTCCCTTATATGAGTGGGAAATAATCCCATTTCCTCCTACCTCACTGCCCACTAAAACCTTTGTGGAACAAACATGCTTCGACTTATTCTGTCCAAATCTGCTTGACTTATAGTCAAGATGTGGATCCAGAGTTTCTGGGCCTTCATGGTGTTTTGCAGTGTTTATTTTGGAAACAAATTGTGCAAATATTTTTTTATGTTTTTCTTTGTTTAATCACTTATAAATCAGATATGGTGACATTTGAAATATTTATTCCACTTGAAAAAATTCCTCAAAGCCTTTTATGTTACGCAGATACAAACAATTGTATTTCCAATTTATAGTTTGGGAGCTGAACTTGCTTTAATTCTCTTGTAATTTTAATTAATTTCAGGCAGACTGGGTTTAAGGGGTTAAATGTGATTGCAAAGGAGTTACTCAGAGGAGCCAGTTTTATAGATACAGGTTTATAATAAGACTTTATTTGTATTTATTTCAATACCTTAGTAATTTCCAGGCAACATATTTATGTTTTTTTTTTTTTTCTTATGGCATGGAAAGAATAAATTGCCAAAGAATTAAATGCTCAACTTAAAAAAATTAAATTAATTATATTTCATAATCAGTTGTATGTTCCACTTTTGAGCAATCATGACTACTTAGAGGGACTCATGGTTGGACTAAATGCCCAAAGAGAAAACAAGTGAAGAAGGTAGGGAACCAGAGCAACAGGGCAGTTTTCTACCTGCAGCACACCTGTAGTAACTTACAGGGAAAATACTGACACCTAGTGGCCATAAACACGCATGACAAGCTGAACATCCAACCTAATTTCATCTAAAACTTCACCATCAAATGTGACAAAACATTTCATCCTGTAAGGAGTTGAAATGACTGATATTTAACTTCTGCAGCATAAACGCTTCATTTAGAAACAACTGCATCATTAGCTTAAACTTCATGTAAGAAAAATGGCTTAATTGTTGCTAAAATCTAAGAAAAATTATTCCTTTCTGCAATAAGAAAAATAAAACTCTTAGAATTGAGAGAAGCTAAAGACTGAAGCTTAAATATTTCATTTATAAAATATTTTATTAGTTGCTTTTATTAAAACACATAATCTGGTTAATTATCGTAACCAAATACGTTTTATTCCCCTGTTTATTTCTGTTAAGCTCTTTACAGTTAATTAACTTTAATAACTGCTTTTCTTTGCTGATGACGGCCATCTTTTCTTCTCCAATCTCCAAAAAGGTTCCTTCCTCTGATGACTCCTGCTGATGCAGCTTCAGGTAAACTTTTGCTTCATCAGTTTCTCCTTGTTTCCCAGATAAAAAGTCAACCTGAAGCATCGTTTGAGGAATCAGGGAGTAAATCTCAGCAGCTGGTAAGATCTTTGATCCAGTTAGTTTCTGCAGAGCAGGAGATCCTGTGCTAAAGGTCAGAGGTCAAAGGTTGGAGTTCATGCAGATCCAGTGTCTGATCAGCTGATGGGCGATGGTCTGTCTGGGGGGGAAGACGAAGGCTGAGCGATCTCCTCTGAACAAAGAATCAATTACCTGGAAAAAAAAGGAAAGGAAAAACTTTTTTTTTTTTTTTACATTTATATTTATTAAAAGGTCAAATTTTTTTATTTAAATTAAAAACTTTCATTTCAGCTCAATATATATTTTTATTTTCAAACCACTTTAAATGTTCTTTTACACAACTTTCCAAAAACATTTGTTCAACTAAAAGATGTGAAAATGACGAAGCAGCAGAAAACCTGCTCAGATTTAGGAATCTCAGCGTCCGCCATTAGGGGGCGTCACAGCGGCCCTCTGTTTCCTCCATATCTGACCCCAAATCTTTATTCGTATCGTATATAACTCGCTCTACATCACGGCTAACCAATTAAAAATCAGCGAGGTCCGAATAAAGAAAATCAACCAGTAAAGGTCTGGAGACATTTTTTATTGGAAGTTTTAACAGAATTTAACACTGAAATAAAATGAGGTGTTTATGCGTCCATGTTTTACATTTACTTTTTAAATAAAAAAATTTGAGCTTTTAATAAATATAAATGTAAAAAAAAAAAAAAGTTTTTTCTTT